TGTGTGTTTGTGGTTGTGTGTTTGTGGTTGTGTGTTTGTGGTTGTGTTTGTGTGCTTGTGGTTGTGTGTTTGTGGTTGCCTGGAGCTCGCGGTTGAGGTCCGGCAGGTAACACTGGGCGCGGATAGTCGCGGTTGAGGTCCGGTGGGGAACACTTGGGTACTCGCTTGGGTCTGGATCTCACGGTTGAGGTCCGGCAGGGAACACTGGGCGCGGATGGTCGTGGTTGAGGTCCGGCAGGGAACACTTGGGCGTGGAGCTCGCGGTTGAGGTCCGGCAGGGAACATTGGGCGCGGTCGCGGTTGAGGTCCGGTGGGGAACACTTGGGTCTGGAGCTCGCGGTTGAGGTCCGGCAGGGAACACTGGGCGTGGATGGTCGTGGTTGAGGTGGACGCGGAGGAGAAGGAGAAGGAGAAGGAGAAGGAGAAGGAGGAGGAGGAGGAGGAGATGGGGCTGACGTAAAATCTAACAACCCTCACCTGACAGGTGGGGAAAAACTGCACAATTGAAAAGCGCGTTGGAAACCAACGCGCTTAAGTAGGCGCAATTGGTCCGGTAAGCCCCGTGCCCGCAGAAGGTCCGGGCAGTGCCGATGCACCACAGCCCATAGGGAAATCACTTCTTGAGTAGCATAGCTTTGCTTGACAGTCATATATAGATTGTGCGCGAGACAAGGCAATAGAAAAAGCCAAGGAGAGCAAAGACAGCAAGGCCAAAAGAAAGAGGTAAGACATAGTAAAACCATCAGAATGAACTTGAACTCCACTGCACCGTGCAGTAATATCTATTATTTGTACTCGCTCTTTTTGGAATCTGCTGCGTCGCTCCAGTCCAGATTCTTCAATGTGGAGACATCTGTGCACATTAGCCAGACATTTGAATGCTGGCTACCGATCGTATTGAAACTAGAGCCGCCAAATATTTACATGTAAGGGTGAATTGCCTTGATGCCATTCCTTTGCTGGAGCGCTGTCGATGTGGCTGAAGAGAACACACCCAAAACAATGAAAAAAATGCGGCAGAAGCTAAGCATCATGTGGGCCAAATGAACTAGACGCATCTACACATCTTTTGGCCAAGACTCTGAACTTGCTCATAGGTCTTTGCATATGTTGCGTCACCCTTGGGCTCCAAGACCATGACCTTGGGACTTGGGAAGTTTCATGAACTGCCAATCATGACGGCCGAGTAGAAAGTAGACTGAATCTCAAGGTAAGCGAGTCCCACTAAGCATGCCGGGTAAGTTCTTTAAGTCTGCCTCAGTCAAACTGAAACACTGAAAGCGGGACCTCGGCATCTATAAATGCCCAGCAGCCAAGCTAATTGGCCTCTTTGTCTGACACGCTGCTCCAAGCTGGTGCCGGGAAGAGACATAGCAATAATAGATGCCTTTCTCCTTCAAAAGTTTGGAGGCCATCGACATTAGGTTGGAGGCCATCGCTCTTAGGTTGGAGGCCATAGCTATTTGCAGTTAAACTATGTTAAACTGTTAAACATCAAAACGACAATTCTCAGGTCTCCACCACCTCCTTTTGGCCATTCGCTCGCTTGCTATGTGAGCTTTTCAGTGAGCTGGGGAGAAAAGAAAAGTACCTATATTATATTATACATATAGAGAGAGACAGAGAGAGATGCAATACTTCTAATACGACCTTAAGACTGAAGAATAAAATATACCCATAATCTTAAACACAAGGAACAACCGTGCATTCGCACCACTCCTCTGCCAGCAAAGGCACATGTGCGAAGACATCCTGTAAACAAGAGTGACAAAGCAATTCTGAGCACTTTCGCTTTATTCTATACTTCTTGCCAGCTAGGGGCCATCGGATAGATGTCAGCAGCCTAGGGCACCATGAATGGTCATAAGGGCCTACACAACACCGACGAATCTAAGGCCGGCACCAAAAAGCAAATTCCTTTCTGACCCTTGCGCATAGCCTTAGTGCACTCTGGCACTCCTCGCCTGAGGCAGGGACAGAGTGTGCCTTCTGCTTGGTCAAACAGGCATTCACAGAAATCAGGAGGCCTATACATTATGATACGAACTAGTCAGTAAGCCGTCAGAATCGCTTGGGAAACAGCACCTCGTCATCTTCTCAGAGACTGCCTTCTTCAGAAGTTTCAATGCCCGATCCAGTAGCTTGTCCTCAAGATGGGCAATCTAACCATAAGTATTCAGCACTCACCCAGTGTTCTTACACTGAGGACACATGCTTCCGCATGCGTCCGCATCCAACATGTCGACAAAAACACGACAAAAACAGAAAGAGACCACTTCGCAAAACAGCGAAGTCCGTCACTCCGCATCCAAGCTTCCGCGATGAGTGGGTCCGCCAGTGGTGAAACATACAGAGCCTTGCGGGGCTCCTGCAGGATCGCGCGCGGCAAATGGTTGTGTAAACAAGACAACTAAGTCTGAGAAATGTCATACAGAAAGGGGGCCACAGAAACTTATTGAAGTCTTTTCTGTCCGCACTTGGCTCTTCATGATTCAGACTGTTCCAGCTACATCAGCCTCTGGTGCTGTTCTGAAAGCCTCTGGCTGAAAACTTGGAGCCCAAGCGACTCCCGTAACTCAGCATAATGGTTTGAAGCAGCAAAGGCTCCCCAAAAGTAGGGTCACCACGGTCACCACCTTAAGTGTAAATCGTAGCACTTTGCCTCTTTCCAGCATCCACCGCATCCCAAAAGGCACAGAGCTCTGGTCGACCATGAGGAGTTTCTTCAGCAATGGAGCCACCAGGCAAGGAAGCATTCAAGACAATATTCCTGACAAAAATCATAACTCAAAGGCCAGGCGTGCAGTCTCATTCATTACTGATTAGGCGTCCAGTGTCGGTGAATGCAGTCAAGAAACTTGGTGACCTCACCATGGCTGAATTTGGGCCAATGCTGCGCGCTGCACTCATCTCGGCAGTTGGGATCCCCGCTTGCAGCCACATTCGTCCAGAAGGTCCCCACCGTCCTCGCAAAAGCCCATTCTTTGTCGTTGAAGTACGCTTGGTACCCTTCGCGGCCAAAGCGAGTTGGCGCGTAGCATGCTTCACATCGATCAAGATGAGGACAGTCAGGGGGGGTCAAGCCCCAAATGCCACAACAGCTTCCATCCTCCATAAAGTTGGGTTGACCAAGCACAAAAGTCACCTCGTCCTGGTGTGCAGCTCCTAAATACGGCAAATGATAATTGGGCACCGCCGTGCAGTTCGGATTGCCTGTGTACCTGGGGGGCATGTGTTGTCAGTTAGTGCACAAGACTTCCACAACAGTTTACATGGTCAGCAAAGCTAAGCCCCCAGCCAGTAGTCAAAGCGGTAGGCAAAAGCACGTCCTGGCCGAGCTTGGTTGAACCAAGATGCCCGTCGTCTGATGCCACAAAGCATCTGATCTGACTCGACATTGCCAAGTTGGTGCACGTTCCTGACGGGGAGGAGCAAAGGGCATCGCTACTAGGAGCAAGGACGCTACTAGGGGCTCCTGGCCTTACTACTAGGAACAAGAAGCTAATAGAAACAATAAATCAATATAATATATATATACTGTAAATAGAACTACTTCTTCAAAAGGCTCACTTGCCGGCCCCACACGAGGGGGGCAAGTGTGCTCCTTCCGAAACCATTTCTGAGCTCTGTCCTAATGCCGTCTGCAGCGTCAGCTGGATAGAGGTCCAACGCCTTGACTCTTGCGGTCAATGATCTGTCATAGTAAAGTTTGTGGGGAAGCAGTGAGCAAACTGAGGTCTTTCAACACAAGATCCAGAAGACAAATGCGCCTTGGCTACAAACTTGGGGCCAACCCGAATGAAAAGTTGCGCACCTCGGCAGTGTCCCAGATGATGATTGATAAATAAGTAATTATATACGGCACATATTTTGGCAGTTCATACATTTACAGTATATATAGCTGCAGATCTTCAGTTAAAGACTTCTAACAGCTTCCACATGCGTTTGAAAAAAAGCTATATCCAACATCCAAGTGGGGATGAGAGAGACTACATCTAGCGCTCAAAACTTTACACGGTGCTACCGGCGGGTCCAGCACCGAGAAGAGAAATGGATGGAAATGGGCACAGGCCGCCTGCGGAAAAATAGATTTAAAAAAACATCGGGCCATATGCAACGGGTTGCACCAACTGGTGCGAAAGCAGGTGTTCAATGGTGTTCGGTTTTCTAGCACCACTGGGACAAGTGGACACATATATAAACTATATATATAGGGTTGGACTTGTCTTTGCAGTATGCGCTGGCATGCGCTGGCCATATACCGCATTGCCATCCATGACCGTGTTCGCCAAGATGCCATATTCCATGGCTGAGAGTGGCTTTAGCGCTCCATCAGGATGATCATTTGGCTGATCCAAGCCATCCTACAAAAGCCGGCACAGCCGGCCCTATCCACACCAAAACCATTCGGGATATCCATGAATATCCGGCTGATTCGCTGCATTTTCTAAGTATGCCAGGCCGTGCCAATGCCCCGGAGCTCTCTCTCCTTGGTGTAGTCTCGGAAGAGAAAGAGGTTGCTGTCGTTGGTCTGCGCTCCCAGGACTATGGTAGCATTGTTAACCAGGCCCTTGCGCAACAACTCCTCGATGGCACAAGCTTTCCAGCATTCTGTGACATGACAATCCCTAGTTCTACCATATATCCCTCCTCTGGCGCTTTGGGAAATGTGACGCCATCAGTAGTGGGTGACCAGCCGGCAGTATAGGTTGTGCGAGTGAGGTTCACTGCAGGCACCTGACCAAGGCGGAGTTGATCTGCAGAGTGTGTCCAACGCATCTCAGGAGAACATCGACCACACCTGTGACAGGAAAATCGCACAGAACATCCAACGCCTCTGCAAGGCAGGTCTTGTTCGCTATGCGCTGGGGTGTCAGGCAACCCAAGCTTTGAGCAATAGCAGTTGAAGTTTTTACTGCTGCTTCAAGGTTTCCAGCACTCAAGCTGCCTGACTGCAGGTCAGGTGAACATGCCATGCAACATGCCACATGCGAAGCAACGGCTGCATTTGGCAAAGGCGGTGCACAGCATTGCACAACATCTCTTTAGTTGCCTCGCCTGACTCACTGATAGCTCCAAGGAAAAGACCATTGGAATCAGGAGCCACATATTGAAGCTCTACCAAGCCTCGGGCCATCCAGACGGCCAAACGGATAGTAGTGAGTGATCAGCTCCTACAACTCAAAGAGCGGTTCAGTAGTACAGCACGTGCAGAATATGGCACAATGCTCAATGCACAATGCGACTGACATTAACGACAGTACCACACGGCTTGCTACCTCAAGCACCTTACATTCCCCAGAGCGTCGATGCGCCCTCATTCGTCAAGACTCCACCCCCAGAGCTTTGCCCATGGATAGCAACGCGTGCTGCATCGCCTCCAAAGGCCGCAATCTCTCGCTGAACCCAGCGCAAGGCACCTCACCAAACATCACTAGGCATTGCGGCATTGCACTTGAAGTATCTCAAGTGTAGCAAGACCGGCATCGAAAGTATCGAACGTTCTCATCTACACTAATTACGTGGCATACTAATTACAGCATAACACATAGTACACTATCGTCTCCCAAGAAAGGACTGAGTCTCAGAGTTCAAGGTTGAAACTTTACGGTTCAGTCTTTTCACATGCATGTACATCTTCAGGTTAACTTCAGAGTTCAGTCCTTTCTCTATAGTTGGAGATACTTCAGGCCCTTGTCTTTATTTGTTGTATTAACTCCAAAGAATATCCAGGGATGCGGTTGTTTTAGTGAGTTTGAGAGTGTTTCTGTTTTCCTTGAAACACCTACCACGTCAAAACTCTAGAGTTTAGTCTGTTTGTCTTGAAGACTTGCTGGGCATTATGTCGCAAGTTTATTGTCTTTTGTTTTTTCTGCTATTCAACATGTCTTCCAGTTTTGGCTATCAATGAGTTGTCGGTGCTTAGCTCCACTTTAGCTCCACTTATGGCGGCCATTGGCATCGCATGGTGGCTGGTGCTGCCCGTCGGGTGTGCCTCTGGTGTCTTGCTTCTTAGGTGAGGAGAAGCGCCAGGAGCGTTGATGCAGGTTCGTTTTTGCCAGGAATGGCCAAAGATCCCCAAACCATAGCATTTCTTTCATGTGTGGGCTCAGAGGAAGGTACTTTATGCATGGCAGGCACGGGTGTGAGATGTTCCCGGAAGAAGGTGCGGGGCAATTATTGCCAGCAGCACTACAACGAAGCAGCTTCAGAAACTACAAAGGAGACCTACCTCCAAGAGATGCAAGATTTTTTTGAAAATGCCAAGGCCAAGTGGGAACAGGATCAGTTAAACCTGGCTGTCGCGCAGTCCTGCCTTGTCAATTAGACGTGTGGAAATACGTCTTCGGACCTCGGAATGACGGCCTGGAGGCGATTGCATGTTTGTGGCAGTTGCATGGTCAGCAGGCATACCAATCGATCCGCTTGCTTTCAGACAACGGGTGTGTTCCTATTTGGCAACATTCCCTCAAATGTTTTCACTTTGGTTCGGTACAAAGTGGCCCTCCTGTGAATCGTACCTTCAAGCTTTGAGGCGACCAGGTGTTTGGTGAGGCGATTTGGCTTGAATAGCCATGTCCTTCTCCGCCCCATACTTGTCGTGACCGATCGGCCATCTTCGGATGAAGTCGAACCGCCTTCTCAGATTAATGCACAGGCTTGGGGCCCTCCAGCCTCCAATATGGATATGTTTTCTTGGATTCAACCACTACGAGGCGACGCAAGCGATCGCTTCGCGAAGCCAAGCAAGTGTTCCTCCTTCAGCCTCGGTGAAGACAGAGACTAGTTGAGGACATAAACCTTGCTCTGCTCCAGGAAAAACTCGGGAGTTCAGTCGCTTGCAGGGTTTAAAGACTGATCTGCAACGTTTAGTCTCGGTTGTACATGACAGTGCAAAACCACAGGGTTTCCTCCAGAGTTCAGACCTAGGCTGGATTAAGTCCAGGGTTAAGTCTTTTGAACTCTGAGTATCAGACGCTTCCTCGTCTCCCATAGCATGGTAGTCCGCACAACCCTGTGGTTCTCTTATGCATATGTTGCATGCTGCTACTGTGAATATATAAGTAATATATACTGTGTATGCGTGTGTGCTTACAAATGCAAATGAACAAAATCTGAGATGCGAGTCAAGCGACTCTGAATGTCCAAGATTCCCCAGTTGCCAGTTGATCTTTTGGCATCAACGTCTTCTGCGAAAGCCATCCACCCAAGTGGCCCCGTTCGGTAGTTGAAGGATACACAAACGACATCATGGAAGGCCGCCAAGGCACTCCTTGGCAGTCACAGCAGAGTTGGAGTGCGTTCAACCCTTTCCGTCTTTCTCTTTACTGTTTTCATGTTGCTTGCTTCATTTGCGGGGGCTGAGGCCATGGGAGATCATGGGAGGCTCGGCAGGTAGCATAGCAAAGAAAATCACAAACGATCCGACGTAGGAAAACCCTCGCTTTGAGAAGAGGATTGGCACCTCCAAGTTGCATGTTGTATGGCTCAGCTTCACCAAACTGGTTGGAGCCTCCATAGATGAAAACCATGACGGGAAGTTTGTTGTCAGCTTCCCAAGCTCGGTGCGGGCTCCATACATTAGCTTTGAGGCAATCCTCACTTCCATACGTCTGAGTCGGATCCCCTGCAACTTGCATGCAGGCAGGTCCCCACATGGCCGCTGCAACCTTTCTGCCTGGATACGGCCCATGGAAGTCCATGGGTGGCTCAAATCTCTTTGCGGTCGCAAAAGGAACACCAAGGAACTGATCAACTTCCACACCACCAGCTGCTGGAAGAGTAATTCCGATCACGGACCCTCCACTTGTCTCAGGCCATGGTTTGGCACTGGCAAGGGAGAAAAGCACCAAAAGAAGTTCACGTCCAAACATCAGGCCCTGCATGTTGTCTAAACAGCGGCTTGGCCTCTAACCTATGCCGTCAATTGAGCCCACATATGACGAAACGTCCACAAATTTGCTCTAGAACATGGACAAGAAAACATGCAAGACTTCTACATCGGCATCGGTGGTGGACACCACAGTAATCCAGCCAACATGTTTCAAGGTCTTGCCACGCTCCTCTTCTTCCTCTTCAGCCATGAGATCCAAATGCTCAAGCTGCTGCTTCGTGCGAGGCAACAGGCTGAACTTCGATGCTTTGAGCCAAATTGCATTGCCAGTGTCCACCGAGATCATGCCAAGCCCGTGTTGAAATCAGCACATTTATGGTGTTTTTGGTGTGGCATGCGTCTCACGCCTTCCGTTTCGAGCCCAAAACCCAAACCCAAACAGTTCCGCATGCAGAATCACCACAAACAGTGCAGAAACACCTTTGATGCACGGCTTGGCCGGCATCTCCAGAAGGCCTGCTGGCCTTGGTCGTGGTTCATCCCGGCATTGGTGAGCCGGTTTTATGGATGCGAAGGATAATATGCCATCAACGGTTGAGCAGCATACTGAGTTCAGCCAACATTCACCTTAGCTTGCTGGCCATGGTGATTTTGGTATAGGGGGCGCCACCAACGAGTCATATGTTTTTTCAGGTGGCCTCAATTACGGGGAAACTTCCTTCTTGAACCTCCTACACTACTGACTGTGGCAAGGAAACCAGATTCCGAGAAGCAGGCGGGCCATTGGGCAGCTTTCCCTGCATTTCGATTGACACTACCAAGCACTCTATGCACTATTATGAATTCACAATGTGGTTTTAGGTTTTGGCCGCTTGCCTTCGAAGCCGTTGTGCTTGGAGAATTGAGAAACTTGATGATTGTGTCCTGTGTGGCACAGGCTTGGTGGCCCTCACTCTTGCAGGCAAGGTCACTCAAACATGTTTAGTGAAGGCTCGAGAGAGGTCCTTACGCACCCCTACAAACAAGCTACCGCCCAGGACTAGGACAGGTAAGAAATCTATGTGGTCGTTTTCCCAAAGGCAAAACAAATCAGGTACAATAATTGCATGTTCTTAGCAGGTTTGATATCATTATTGTCTTATTGTGCACATCACCCCACGGGTACCTGATGCAAGTATACACGCATCGGACACCTCACTTGCACACGGTTGGACGGAACCCGGACCTGAAGACTGAATTATAAGGCTAGATGTGCAAAAACTCACTTCTACACCCTCCATCAACTCACATTCGCGCTTAGTGACTCATTTGCGCACACAGGAATGGGAGTGTGACCAGGGGGGATCAGCATTTTCGATGCCTGTCAATCCCAAACCAAACACGACGCTTACAAGCGAGCTGTTGGGAGAGTACACCATAGGGTGCCACGTCAGTCACTAGCTCAGCACACGAATTGGTTTCAAAGTTGTTTTGCTGAGATGCGCTTGTCCTGGCACAGTGCCGGGCTCACAAATTGAGTCTGACCCCCCTTGCGATGTTCGCCCTCTAAATGAAGCACAAGGGAGTTCAGAGCCTCGCTATTTATTCAGATGGACGGGTTGGCAAAGTAAACCTCGTGAGTTCTCGAATGTTACCCACACCGGTGCTTGGCTTCGAAAGATGATGGTTGGACCGAATCGTAATCTGTTTGTGCTGTGGATGTCTCTTGATGAAAAGTGGAACCAAAATGGAAAGGATGCAAGAAGTGAGTCAAAAAAGAAAAACCCAAAGGACATATAGTAAAAACCAATGGCTTTTACCAGCACAATCAATTTCTGCTGAAATCACCTGTCAGTCGAAAAGGCACCATAGCCTGATCGCAAGTAGTGAACTAACCAATACTAACCACATACCAGTAAGCACATCTTCAGATGGGTAAATCGGGCCAATAGATCAAATATACCAGTGTAGACGGAGACATCGCAAAAGAAGCGGCCCAAGCAACAAACCACGTTGGGAGAGAAGGGGAGAAAACCCTACGAACAGCAAAAGCGCCTGTTCAAAGCAGTTATATAAATAGACCTCACAGGTGATCATGGTTGGGGAAAGCGGCTTGCCGTATAACTAGGTGGCGACCACCCAACAGCAAGCAAAACAAACCCTATCAAGAAAGGGTGACCTTGTTTTTCGGGATTTTTTTCCGACGCGTTTTGGGAATGTTTTTTCCGCACTGTTTGTGGTCAGGGGTTGCCACAAAGAGAAAAAGAAAGAGAAAAAGGAAAAGGATAAAAAACTAGCAGCATAGGAGGCAAGGAACGGAAGAGTATTAGAAGGAGAAGGAGAAAAAGGAAAAGGAGGAAAAGAGGGAGGAAGAGAAGGAGAAAGAGAAGGAGAAAGAGAAGGAGACAGAAGAGAGAGGAGAAGGAACAAGAGAAGGAGAAGGCTCTTCCCGCTGCATTCTTGCAGATCACAATACAGTATACACCAGCCATGTGAGAATGGTAGCGCTTACCGGTAAGTCTGAAATATATATGTGTATGTTCCTGCATACATATGTAGTGTGTGTATCTAAGTTTGTCTGTGTATGTATGTATGTAAGTATGTAAGTATGTATGTATGGATGGTTGGTAGGCAGGCAGGCAGGCAGGCAGGTATGTATGTATGTATGTGGATGTATGCGCTTGGTTGTTTTCGCTGCCGGCGTCATCAGTGACCCCTGCGTTCCGGACCATTTTTACTCGCTCCAAGGACTATTTGACCGTGGGGGGGGGGGGGGGGGGGG